CCCCCCCCCCCCCCCCCCCCCCATATCTCAAATGCGTTTTTGTTGCAGTTGCGAAGCGTGCTCCAGCAGCAGGAGGAGAAGATTTCGCGCTAGCAGTACACAGCAGAGGCGCTTGCGATTTTCTCTGGGGAACGCTCATTGACGCCGCTCACGGAGTAAACCCCCGCACTTGGTCGGAAGCACGGGAAAATGTCGGAGAGAAGTCCGCAACCGTTGAGGAGGTATTTTCGAAATCGCCACGAGGGTGGGTGGTGTCTAAGAGGCCTGACTTGTTTGAAGGGAGGGTCTGTCATTGTTCGACGAGACTGTCATAGAGACATCGAAGGTGTTTTGTGGGTTTGAGAAGTTGAGGTTTCCCAAGTAGCGATAGAGACGATTAGGCGTGTTGTGTATCCCGATGGGAGTGCGACGGGAAGGGTGTCGGATCCCCCCGAGTTTGTGATCGGACGGGATCAGCACATATTCGAACAGACAACCCCAGGAGCGGAGAACTATTCGTGGACTGTTAGACTAGTGTTACAGGTTTATTGATGTTTCAGTGTGTGAGGTTTCGTCCCTTCTGTTGTGGTCCCCAGAATCTACACGATTCGGTGCATGTGTCAAGCACCACCCAAGGTCCGGAAGGATGTTTCTAGACAATGCCCTTTGTTTTTTCTCCGTCTTTCCCTTCTGCGGTGGTTGCGCTAGATGTTTTGCGTGAGGTTGCGTATACTCCCGATGTATAGTATTTATTGAAGCATGTCGATTTTTTCGTCAGCTCTCCTGCCAACGCGCTCACGTCCAAGAAAGTTGACGTGTTTTTCTCTCGTTGGTCGATGTTCACCGGCTTCGCGCGTTGTCCAAAGTCTTCAAGACTTCCACGCCATGGTTTGTTGGTGTAGACTCTACTTGTTGACGTTTTTGGTTTTGCATTTTTCGCGCTCCGCGTAACCGAGGGCCGCATTGTCTGGAGCCATTAAATATTCGTATGGTGATATGTAATGGTCATCATTATTAGTGTTGCGGAATGCAAGGGTATCGGAAAGTTCTGCCCCTCTGGTTGCCCTTCGCGAAGTCCTTTTTCATTCGTTCCCTCAAAGGAAAAAGCCGCCTAGACGTCGCATGCTCGGCTTGTTCCAAAGATGATCGTAGCACGAACATGACGTCTCGAAAGGTCGCCCTTTTGAGCACGGTTAGGGTGCCGAGGTTGTTGAGTATCGGTGTGTGAAATTGTCCAGGCTGGGGACAATTTTGGACGGTGCGGCCGAACGAGAGGAATCGTTGTTGCCGATTCGTGTTTGGATACTAATCTACGTGTTTTCAAGTATTCGTGGGCGGGTGGTGGTGGTTGTAGAGAGGTAGTTGGATTTTTTCCGCTCTTTTGGTACTTAATACGTGTGCTCGCTGTGCCAGTTTAACAGCGGGTGGATCTACGATAACATGAAGCGGATCTCGGGGCAGAGCGGTGACAGCCGCCTCCATCTGTCCGGCGCGTGGGAGAGGCGTTGGGTGTGAAAGTCATGGGGGGGGGGAGGTCGTAGGCGAAGGGCCCAGGTATGAGAATCCTTTCGGTAACAGGTTTGAGTTGCATTGGTGTTTGCCAATTTACTGAGTAGCCAATTACGATAAATAGCCGTGTCAAACTGTCATGGCCGTCGAGTCATCGATGGGCCGGCGGAAGCGGCATGGCTAGGGAAGAAACAGGCGGTGCGAAGTGCCCACTGCGTACGATTAACCCCGTCGGACCGACGCTGAGAGGAGGGGCGAGGTTCGCGCAGAGCCAGCGGTCGCCACACGCCTGCCCGCGCGCTGATGGAGGCGGGTGTAGGCGTACGTACAACGGGTGGTTATTGTTTCGAACAGGAGTTTGCGTTTCCTTATGTATCGTGTGAGCGACCTGGGAAGAGTATCGTGCCATCCCTGTCATTTGCTGTGCTGTACTGATGGGGGAAGACTTACGGTTGCAAGATCTCGTGCGGAATCCCTACGAATGAATCTGGTGTTACTTACTGTAACGAAGCGCTTTTCTGTGTGTCTTTTTGTCATGGTGAGAGTATCACTCGAATCAATCGGTTTGAGGATTGGGGGTTGTTTGGTCTCGGTTTGGCGTGCCTCTGAACGGTGGAGCGTGGCTATGGAGTTTTGTCGGCACATGACCCCTCACTTACAATGAAAAATATAATATCGTACACGGAGCGATGAAGGAGAGCTGCATCAAGAGAAGCGTCATTACTGTAGGTCGGGTTGACGACTCTTTCTTCTCAGAAAACGTGTGGGCGCGTGAGTGAGCACATGCGAACAACCTCTGACGTAGCGTGGAGATTTTGTTTTCTCATTTTTCTTCGTTCCATTTCCTATCAAAAGTGTTCTAGCAATCTGTTAGCAATCTTGTTGGGTGTCCTCCGTGCGTGAAGATTTTTTTCTCGTTTTTCTTTTTTTCCTTTACCGTTCTATCAAAAGTGTTCCAGCAATCTGTTGGGTCCTCCGTGTGTAGCTATTAACACAGCTGCAGAGCCAAGCGTTGATTTTTTTGGTCGATTTTGTACATTTTGTGTGTAGTGCTTGAGGGTACACGTTCGCTTGTTTCTGGGGCGGTAGTATTCTAGTGCGACCCTGTCCAATCTTTCGGGCCGGCATAGAGAGCTGCTTCACAATTCCAACAAGCAAGGCTTACCCTGCCTCGAAAGCAACCGAAACATATGCATACGCATGTCTTTGGAATGGACCCGGAGCGTTGGCAGCGTCTCCGATGTCACATGGTGCATGTATGTATGTGTAGATAGATATGTTGTTGAGCAACATACTTACGACACGGACGGTTGGTTTCATTTTTTGTGTCTTCGTTCCAAGGAGGGCGGCATTCATTGCTAACTCCCTTCTTCAGAATCTACCCTGCGGTTCTCTATATTTGTGTAGTGATCTAGGTCTAGGTGGCACGAGCACTTTTTATGTGGTGTGCCGATTGCTCGCTAGTGGGAATGGAGTTTGCTTGCATTAATTTTCAGGGCCTGCCCGCTACTATTGAATGGTCATGGTGCAATAAAAACGGTAAAGTTGAACGTTGTTTCTGAGTAGTAAGCATGTATGTATGTGAGGCTTGGGTGCAGCCAAGGAGACTCCTGTGGGGTACTTCCGGAGTCAGCCCCCACACGGGCTCCGGGCAACGCCTCCGAGGGTGTCTCTGATGTTCCTGATAACCCTCAGCGGAAGGGGACATGGTTGGCGCGCTATCGCCGTCTGTCCCCTTCAACGCCGAACGTCGGCTTGGTTGGGCTGCTGTAGCTCTGCTGTTGTGTGGAATGTCATGTTAGCACATGACGTGTACGAGCTAATGCAAGTCAGCGCTGACGTGTACCACTCAATCAAGTGGGTATACCGTACATCTTGACACGCAGTGAGCGGCGATACGCATTGCGATACCCCCGTGACGGGTTTTATCCCATGCTTCATTTACAATGCTGCCGTAGTCTGTTGTATTACAAATTATATGCATCTTGTATTGCTTGTTATGTAGACTGACTGTTGCCGCCGAAGGTACCACCTGATTTTCACGTGAAACCTACGGTGTACCAGGTGACTAGCACCTTATACGATGTACTATTGTACCTGGTATTGTGGGAGAAAAAAACTTGTTGCATGAAAAGTATTTCTTGATGATCTTCACCAACGTAAATGTATGTATGCGGTGGGGGGGGGGCGTTAGACCATTGACCACGCGTCCTCGAGTGAACGGAGCGCTGTTCCCACAGGACTGATCACCGATGGCCAATCGTCCCTTCCTACTTTGCCAAAGGTGGCTCAAAAATGTCTGCGCCATCCACCGTGTGAATATCACTCCCGCCTCAACCCACTTCCTATCCCCAGTACAGCTACCGTCTTCTCCTGGCTATACCATGCCTCAAACGTCTCCCAGTATCTTCCCTCTACCTTGTCCTTACTCAGTCATGTACACTTAATCCCTCTCCTGTTACTACTGTACTCGGAGCCTCAATCACACTTATTTGGACTTATCGTCATGGTCGCGATCACATTGTTTGAACTTGTCGTCTTCATTCCTACAGCAGTAGCACCTTCCGTAATCTTCGTCTACGTTCTCGAAGGCCAATCAATGTCCCCCGTTCTCCCTCCTGAATTTGTACCTGCATCCATATTGTTCCATGCAGCAGGTATGTTTTACTACAGATGGCGCTCGCACTTGAGAACCTAGCAGTGAAGAAACGCAGCCTCAAAAAAATCAAAATTTAAGAACTTGGCCATAAGAACACGTGCTCAGTTCCGACGTGGCATTAAGAACAAGAACCCGTAATTGTAGTGTGCCAAAGCGCTTACGGATAAGAACAGATCCCAAAAAAGTGGTAGCTGCAAGATAAGAACTCATGAAGGTGGTGAGGGGTGACTCACGGGGCGTCCGGTGACCCCATCCACCGGCAGATTCAGATCAGCGACGAGGAGGGGGATCTCCGGTTCAAATAATACTGGTGCGGATGGGGGGGGGGGCGTACTCTTATGTTTTGCATATCCTAGTGGTTTAGACCATTGACGACCACGCGTCCTCGAGAAGACGGAATATCGTTCTCACAGGACCACAGACCGATGGCCAATCGTTCCCTCCTACTTTACCAACAAAAGTGTCTCAAAAATGTTTTCCCTAGCCTGTCTATCCTATCGATATCATGTCCCGCCTCTTTAACCCACCACGTTCTATGCCCCAGTACACTACAGCTACCGTCTTGTCTCCTAGCTGGCATTCCACGCCTCAAACATCTTGCTCCTTGTGCTTTTCCCGATGTCCAGCAATTAATTGTTTTTTTTTTGTTTGTTTTTCTCCCATCATTGGACTCTGTCGTCTGCCCCTCTGGCCCCTATCCTCCACTTCTACTAGCTAGACGACCCAACCGGGGTCACATAGAGGGGGGGGTTGGACCCCCTCCTGCGGTTAATGTCTGAGGTATTTTTATCGCGACAGGGGTACAGCAATCCCTTCCCTCGCGACTTACGAAGTCGATTATGGTTTACTAACAAACGAGCTTTGCAGCGCGTCGCTTTCATCCTAGACCAGGATTTATTTAGTGAGAATGACTGCCGGGACTCGAACCCATGACCTGGCCCTTAGCAGGCTGCGAGGCTACCCACTAGACCACCGGGGCGACCGGTTGTGTAAAATTTCGTCCGCTTTTACAACAGGCATCCCGCAACTACATGAACCCGGTGTTCGCACTCGGGGCCGCTTTCACATTTTACCTTGGTCGGTGCGGAGGTAGAGGGGGGGGGGGGG